CCAAATCCAATGAATATTTTTATTGTCTTCTCGAAAAATCGTCTTGTATTTATAGGTTTATTTTAAAGTCGAAATTTTTTTTCAAAAAAAAAAATTTGCATTATCGTTATTTTGAAGGGTTGCGCCTTCTAAAAAAATTGTTTTATGGTGTACATGATCCATAACAAACCTGTACAAGATCCATATCGTTCCCGGAGAATCGAAGAGGTACATTTTCCGGTGACTAAAAATTAAGAAGAAGAAAAGCAGACGAAATGTTTTTTCCCTTGAGGTTTTAGGGTTTAAGAGCTTCACTTGTATATCCGGTTCGATTTTCATGGAATTTCCGTATGTAATTGAACCGTTAAAACCGTGGAAAAGAAATCAATTTTGTTATTTTATCATCCCATCAAAAATCAAAATCTCTTTTTAACAGATAATATATCATAATTTTGGTGTCAATTCCGATTTGCTTATCCTTCCCGGTCTGATTTTCATGAGAAATAGATATGCAATTGAACCGGTGAAGTTTGATTACATTAGGAATTAGCACATCAAATGTCATTTTTAAAGATAAAAAGACCAGATTTTGATATCGAATCTGAATTCTTTAGTAGTCTTTTAGTAGTCTTTACTTTAATGATATGAAAGAATAAGAACTTTTGTAAGAATCCCATCAAATTTTTTCTGTGTTTAATTTCTTCTGTTTTCAATTCATTGATTACATAGTGAAAAGTAATAAAGAGAAATATCGACAAAATTGAGATAGTTAAATATTTTGCGATAAATTCAACAGAAATAGAAACATCGACAAACAATAAGAAGATGCATATATATTCGGATGGTGGCCGATAACATCTAGCTTCTATCGGGCTTAATTATGCTAATTTCAACTGTTTAGTGGTCTGAAATAAAATAAGAAACAAGAGCATTTATCAAGGCCGAATATCGGTAATATAAGGCATTAGATTGTGGCTAGGTACTAGACCTTGTATTTCTTGAAAAGCTTCTTGCATTGCTCGGACTTAACAAGACAACTCTTTAGTCTTTTCCAGTTATTAGTGTTGTTAAGTTGAAACATCGACATGCGTTAGAAAGAAAATGAATTCTATATCAGCGCCACAATGTGTTATATTACCTCTTTCAGAAACCATGAGCTGTAGTCATTCAGCTTATACTCCTTGTACCTAATTGGAGGCAGAAAATTTCAAGATTTTGACATCAAATCAGATAGTTGACGATGGAGAAATCGGTTACAATTACCTTATACCAGGATTTGTATGGCTGGACCTATTGTTTGTTACAATGAACCTGTAAAACCAAGAAAAGAGAACAATGACTGAGAATTCTTGAAGAGACATAAAATAGTTCAATAGCTAAATGACCTTTAGGACAATCAGACTTACGCTAATACAATGAAGACAAGAATCGCGATCAATACGATCAGGAGTACAACAAGATACTTCAAAGCAGAATCATCATGTCAAGAAAGATACAATCCTAAATTTTCAAGAAAAGAAACAGAAAACACAACATGGTAAGTGAAGAGTTTGTTGAGATAGAGGTATGTATTTACTAATGATTAGGGAGGTGCATGCATCTTGAACGGACAATACTTATAAAGAAAAGTTCTATAAAATTGTAATTTGAGCATTTATAATCAACACAAACCAATCGCGTATTTTAATTAACGAACACCTAGCTAATTTTGTATGAATATCGGTTAAGACAAGCGCACCACCGTCGTGGAGAGATACGTTCACGTGTCGTAGAATCTGCTACGTGTTTCGCATACAAGAGACGTTTT